ACTCGTACCTGAGCAGAAGATATTGCGTACGCATTCAACTCCGGATCGATGTAGTAACAGCTCACTTGCAAATCATCTCCCTAGTGTAGACAAAGTCGATGCATCAAATTAAGCTAATTAATGGCTACTGCAAATCATACACTCAGATAGTTTTTCTCGATAATAACGATTTTAAACCAATTTCCTTAATAGAATTAAAATTATATCTCAACCATGCAAAACTTATCGCATCTGATCACTGGTTTGTCAAAATTAAATATGAGCACCTCTTTTTGTTGACTTATATTAGCTATGTAAGTATGTTTTCCCCATAATATTAATAAAGAAAAATCGTTGCGAACCATTTTTAGTCTCTGCTACGAGCTAATCTATTATCGATCACATATTAATCCTAGGGCAGAGAAGTCCTTAGCTATTGCGTATGTTCCCCTGCGTACCTGTATGTGATCAAGAACTGATCTAGCGGAATTGAGAGAAATTCCACGTTCCGCAGAGGGACCTCCACAGATAAGTCCAACTCTCAACGCTTCACATTTCACACTATGTTTCTCCCTTTCAATCTCTGTAGTCGCCATTTCAGCTACACCGTCCTTAACCACCATCTTGGCAGCAGCACGAGAGACTCGGATTTTGGGAGACTGAAGCCGCCGAGCATGATTATGTAAATCCAGAGACAATCGGAGGAAGCTGGAGGAGAGTGTTGGAGTGAAGTTTGAAGCTCTCAGTTTAATGTCTTTGCATAGTACGTTGCAGGTAGAACAATTTGCTATATGTGCCATAGGAGGAGGAGGAGGAGGAGGAGGAGGAGGAGGAGGAGGAGACGGTAGCCGCAGGCTTCAGCTACTCTGAAGAGTGATATCGTTAATAATTCAATCTAAAAGAAGGAAGGGAGTGGAATAAAATAAGCGAAGGAGATAAAGCAGTGTTCTATTCATTTGTCTTCGTCCTGTAGAGAACAGTTCAAGTTTTAGGCGGGCGGCAGACGGCGGGCGGCAGATCACAATGTATCAAACAGATGAAGGGAGGAAAAAGAAGGCGCGTATATATTCCATAAATTAACCAAACTGGCATCTTATTCTTTTTAACTCACCACGTGTTTTTTTAAAACTCTTTTTGAAAATGTATAAGTACTTTTAAAAAGTATAAGAATAATAATAATAATGGCGTGGACAAAATTGGTCCGTCCCACCAGACCCCCAAATGCACTTACTTGGTGTCGTTTTTAAGTTCACCATTTTGATTCAATAATTGCTCTCTGTGTGACCTCATGAACTGCCAGCTTTTTTTTTTTTTCTCTAATTTATTATTTGATTGAGAAATGCCCCCAGACATATTCGTCAGTCTTATTAGTGATACAACGTTAACAAAATAAAAGAAAAAGACTAATAAATTAATATGATATAACCAGATGAGTTACTTTCTGGCCCGTTTGGTAGTAACGCGCTTAGATGATAAAGCCCAGCCCGCCGAACAAATATGGGCTTGAAATGGGCTATATTGGGCCTTCATATGGGCTTTGAATTGGTGAGTACAGCCCAATATGAGTTTTCCATTTCACGCCACAAACCTATGACCTAACAAAGCAACAACTAGTCTGTCGGTCAATCCGGAGCTAACAGCGACAGAAACCTATCCCCATGTGTTGACATGCCAAAAATTGCGTATTTCTTCGACTCCTTTGAATTTAATTACGTAAAAGCATTTTTTCTTTTCTTGGAATCTAGGGAAAAGCATTTTCAGTACTAAACAATTTATACCGCTGACGTAATTATACGCACCAGGATAAGTTAAATAATAAAATTTAGAAAAGCCTAGACTACAAATAGAACACAATGAATTAGTGATTTTTTTTTTAATTAATAATATTTCCGGATTTCGCGGGTGATTAGACAAAAATTGCAAATCATGTTCGCCACTCACCACAAATCATTTCACTTTTTTCAGTTAAAAAAGAGGAAAAAAAAGAAAAAAGAAATCATAGCAATTTATTGAATTTGTGAAAACGGTCGGGACAGTCCACGACTGAGCAGCTGGGGGAACACCATTTGGTAGATAGTATCGATCAATATAATAGACAATTATTCTCACGTGTAAAATCAAACAACCCTTTTGATATTACACGTTCATATGAAATAATTAAACAAATAAACTTTTTTTTTTAATTAAAAAAAATAAAACCTTTGGTTTCTAGAAAAAAATATATATGTGAAAAAAATAAGAATAAAGAAAAATTAAATTAATAATTAAGAAATGTACCACTTTGAGGGTATAGAAGAGTTTAGAAAAAAGTCTAAGTGACTTAGAATTTTACAATTTATCTTTTTGGAGCCTATTTGGTACACCCTCTAATGTCTGACTTTATTACTGTTAATAAATACTATTCTTTTTAAAATTTCACTTTTGGATTTGAAAAACATCCGGTACAGAATATAAGAAATATTTTATTTCTCTTTTCCTCACCCTCCAAGATAAATACAAGGGTGAAATTAGTAGCGTGCAAGGGCATTAAGGGAAAGAGTGTAAAAGGAAAGTTTGGCGCACTTATACGCTAAACCAATAAACCACCTGCATAACCACTAATTAGTTGTTTATTAGGATGGTAAGCTACGACCTCCGAGTTACTTAATTAACAATCAATTATTTTGAACTCTAATTCCAAATTAATTATTAATTATTAATTAAAACACCCTTCTGTAATGCTTCCACTTTGTTTCTGTTTGGTTTTGGGTTTTGTTGCCGTCTTTGTTCCGCTCTGTCTCGTGGATTTCCACTATTGCATAGTCTGCATCCAAACACCCTCCTCCAGCTTTCTTTCTTTCTTTCTTTCTTTCTTTTTTTTTTTTTTTCTTTTTTCTTTTTTAAAGTACAATCACCCGGGTGAATGGGAGATTCACTATTCCACTTCAAAAGCACTGAACATTGTTTTATTGTTCAAATTTAATATGATTTAAAAATGTTTAAATGCACGTACTAAAATGAATAAAAAAGGTAGTTCATAATACAGTGATTGAAAGGTGTACCAACCATAAGGAGCCATAAGTAGCCATAGTCTATGCTTGAACTGGACCAAAGTCTTAATACCTATGAAGCTATGTATACCATAGATTTAATTATTTAATACTTGTCCTCATCCATCGCGTCCTTCATTGCGGATATATATGAGCATTTTTTTCCCAGTATTAAAATAATTTCATTTTTATTTTTTATTTTTATCCTTTATTGTTTTTGAGAAAAAAGAAATAAAAATTCATCTATATTTGCTTGGGCAATATGCAGCAATAAATAATTGAGAATCTAGATGGGCCCGTAATTCAGATGACTTGGATCAAAAATACTATTTTGTTTTAAGGACGAAAAAAAAAAAGTAGAAAATGGTGAAATTGAAATTGAATTCATCTGGGGCTCCCCCCTCCTATCACAGGAGTGTTGGCTTAAAATATGGATGCATTAAACAAATAATGTGGTTGAAATGTCCAGAAGTGGAACAACTTGATTAGGTTCAAAACTGTGGCATTATAACAAAATGTCAACTTGCTTTTGAAGCAATAAGGGTAACTTTAGTTTAAAATAATAAAATTATATGTATATATATATATATATACATGCAAAGAAAGGGCGGTGACGGCGAGCAAATGAAAGGCGAAGGCGGGATAGTTGGATTGGGTTTGAGGTGGTAGGTCACTGTAGTGTTAATTTACTGGGAGTGATTAAGCGGAGAAAGACAGTTTTGAATTGGAATCCCTGGCGGGCTCCACGTCCCGACCCAACGTTATGGCTATTAATATGGCTCCAAAAAAATAAAAATTAATAATAACAAAAAAGGCAGCTAAAGCAGCTACTTCCGCGATTTGCATCCCAAATTCTGTGGCTCTCCGGTGGGAGAGAGGCGGCGGCGAGGGAGGGCAAGGAGGAAGGTGCGTGCCGATCAAGATGGAGAAGCAGGGCACGTGCATTACTTACTCATGTAGCGACGCGACGTGGGTGCCGCTGAGTGCGTTGTTCATGTGCCCGTCTTCTCCATCGTGACCACTGCAACCTTTGCACATCCAAATTCACTGAACAGAATATTCAATTTCAGGTAACTTTTTTTTCTCCTTTTTTCTCTCGTCTCCTTTCCGTTATTTTTTCCGTTCTGTAAACAAATATCAAATTCATCTTAGAGAAGATGAAAAGAAGATAAAGCTTATGAAATTCCGAGAAGCCGTATTGTGATTCAATTAGATTCATCGACTAATCTCCAATTTATTCACGTCTTGTGGTAATCCGAATCCCAAATTTCTGATTTTTCTTTTATTATTATTCAAGTGGGAGTGTCGAGGAAGCAAATAGAGACGAAGAAAATGAATACATTTAGTAATAAACTCGTAGTAGTTCCTTTTATTTCTACACATTCCAGCATCAAACTCAAAATTAAACATCCATGTCCATAATATTATAAAAAAGATATGCATAGAATCACCATTTTAAATAATAATAATAATAATAATAATAAAGCCAAAATGTTTTAGTAACTTTAAAGATTAAAAATAGATTAAGAAATGTGGAAGAGTAGTAGTAGTAGTCGTAGTGAGCATTTTGAGGAGGATCCTCCAGATTTTGTCATTTCCCAATGAAGAGAGACAAAGTGGGAGTAGATAATTGGGATTGGCTTCCTTACTTCGAGCTTTGCGTTGCCACGATTGCTTATGTTATGACAGATCCACAAACTTCTAGATTCGCACCACGACAAAATTTGACTCATTCAGGAGGAATCCCTTCTTTTCCAAACATCTACTTTGTGATTCAAGTTAAAAATTTCATGAAAGTGATGTACACAAAAACAGAAGCTACAAGTTGTTGACGCAATCCCATTTTCTAACCCAACATCTTCACAGTCATGCGCTCAAAATAAATCTCAATGGACTAACTTATTCCGCATGGGGCGCCCCTCTCGTGTAACATGTGAGCACCTCTTAATGCACTCTGTCACACTCCTCTCCTTCCATGGAGATTCTAAAAGGAAAACAACAACACACTTTTTAAACCCAATCAAATAGAAACATTCCCTTGAGAGTTGCACAATTCATGAATTCAAGAATAATGAATGGCGGCATGAGAAAATTTCAGGACTAGGATACTATCTTCACATCATTTCAACATTTTTAACAAAATGACGTGAAGTCTACTAGTGTTAAAAGAATGTTTGTAAATATGAATATGATGCTCGATAAATTTTTCCAAGGAATGCACTCTTTCCAAGAGGAAAACAGGTAGTTCAGTATGATGGTGCTGCAACCAAAGAACCACAGCTAGATTCTCCTCCCCTTGTCGCTGGTTCTGGTTCTGAACCTAATAGCTAAACCTAATAGCTAAGTAGCTAGTAGTAAGCTATTCAAAGTATGATAGCTGTTCTTGGCAGTTGAGTTTAAGCAGCAAGTGCTATGGACCTCATGTGCAGACAGAGGTTCTCCGAGGTCGGTTGTCTACAGTAAATTATAACCAATCTTCAAAAACTCGAACAATCATTCACTTAATTCACAATAAGTGAAATAAATTGACTGATTTCAAATCGAATCTTCCATCCATCAATCAAACTAGATGTGGAATTAATCCACTTAATATCCACAGTAGACATACACGGAAACAGTTGTCCCAACAATAATGCCAAAGTTCACTATATCAAAGTAAAAAGGAGCAATGCAAGCAGAAGAGAGGTGAGCTGCAATTGTTAAGGTAAAAATATAAATAGACGTAACTCTTATTTGTGATTAATTAATAGCCTGACATTAACATTAAGTTGTATCGACATCATATACTTGGAAATGTGAGCTTGACGAAAGTGTGAGCACAAAAAGTCAAATGGCTTTTGAGCAAATTCAAAATTGAAAAGTTGGCAACTATATGAGTATTATCATTATCAAATCCTTGTGGAGATCTCTCTTTTCGAAGATAAGATAGTTTGAAAGTTTTTTGGTTCACTTTCGTTTATGTTTTTTTTTCATGTAATGACTTGTGTTGAGCCACTAGGAATAAAGACATCCCACCCTTCTAGTGTAGCCAACTGTGTAGGGCCTTAGAATATTAAATAGAGAAATCCTAGATTTCTTGTTTTTTTAGTTACCAATATGTTAGGTTTATGTAAGGTTCGTTCGAATATATATTTTAATTCTACAACAGCTTCCAACTTCCATTAGTGGAACTCCAGAGATCGTCAAAAGTAGATGGGGAGTGAGATTCAACTCGGAGCTGCCCTCAAGAAAAAAAGAAAAAAAAAAAAAAAAAGTTTCTTCTCATCCTATTGGTACCAACTAAAAAAGCTTTCTCACTTCTTTTTCCTTTTCTTACCAAACCAACTAAAAGCTACGTAGAATCAACTTAGGATATGGTTTTGAGTGATTTCCATGTGGAACAATTTTCAGAAATTTTTTATGCAGTTGTGAGTAAAAAGTGGATTCAATACTGTTCAAAAGTTACAATGCAACTATTCCTGCTATCCCTTTGTGTCTTTTGTCATTTCTGTAAACAATAAAATTATTCCAAACTTAAGGCCTATCTAAAACCAACTTCACACAAAACATTTACTTGTCAAATACATTTTTAATGGTTTTTTAAAAAACATTGTTACAAGAAGTAGAGAACAGGTGTTTGACACTATTCCTGAAGACAACCCATCTGCTTGTACAAAAACATTATCCTACATAGGTTTAACCTTTAAAATCCCCCTTTTCAGCCCAAAATTGAAAGCTGACCACTCTTCACATCAATTCTTTTTACAAGGAAAAAGAATCCATTCCCAGGGACTCCCTAATGTGGTAGGAGATCCAATTTACTTAACTCCCACTAGAAAGTTCTAAGTTCAACTTTCTTGCACGTATGTAGACCCAATCACCCAAAGGAACTTTAGCTGATCTGATCTAATATCTAGGTACTTTCAAAAGTTCAAATTCATTAGCAACCGGCCTTTGGTTCAAAAACAATCAACTATTTCTTGTAGAAGAATACAAGGAAATGAAGTCCCGTGGCCATATCAAAGACGAAAAACTTGAGGTTGACCTTGACTGCATGCAGGATCAGATAAGTTTTATCCTTATTTATCTGAACTAAAATGGTAGAACATCCTCATCACTCCCCACCGCTCTTTCATACTAAATATACGATATATCTAATTGAAAACAACCACTAACTAGAAGATGCCAGACTGACACTCATCTCATCTGTGCCAGTCGACAATGACATGATAGCAGGATTGTATTAGCTTGGGTTCGTAGATCCATATCACTTAATATACTTTAAAGCAGACTAATCAATTAGGATCAGATAACATGCTCATTTTCTTGCCAAGCTAGCGAAAGTTTCCACTATATACACAGCGTAGGATTAAATATGCCATCCTTACAGTAGAGCAAAGTATTGTGAAAAAACAATAATAAATAATGCTCGAGTGGATCATCTTTGATAACAAAAAATATGAGGAAAGTTAAAAAGTGCATTACGTGCTATGTAAATGAAGATTTATAATTTGGCTCGAAAAAAAAGTAAGCATTGATTAAGCATCCACTTACAGTTACGCCATCAGAATAAGTAACCTTTAACCAGCCCCTGAAGTTGAAGGGTGCATGCTCTCCTTTTACCACAACACCAGCAGTTAGCTCAAACAAAGTTGTCATTGCAATACCTGCCCAGCATAGAAACATTCTTGCACTCTAATCAATCTAAATAAACTTGAAGCACAATTCGTTGATTTAAAGAACCACCACAGTACAATATTGTAACTTTTTTTTTAAAAAAAGTAACTCAACTTTCATTGAGAAAAAAATGAAAAAATACAAGAGCATACAAAAATAAGGCCCACAAAAGGAAATTGTACTATGCAAATGGGACTTCAATCCAGTAAAATAAAACCTATAGGGTAATTATAACAGACCTTGTCACCGAGACCCAACGAGTAATAAAGAATCTAACAAGGGATCAAACATTGAAAAAGAAGATTATATTATCCCACTCGCTCCAAACACCCCATAAAATAGCAAACACTCCATCTTGCCCGAGAAATATTGCTTTCTCATGAAAAGGATCTTTTGTAGATTATGCAAGGGAATAACAGCATTTGAACATACCTGTTGCCCTCACCTTCTTGAAAGTAGGGTGAAACAAAGGCTAGTCCGACTGAACTTTGGTTTCCCCTATTCCGGGCTAAGGTAATTTCCTGAAATTGATCCATATTATATTGCCTAAATGAAGATCAGTTCAAGCGTAGCAGCATAGCCTTGAGGACTTGTATAGATTAAGGACTCCAAAATCTGCGGGGGTTGAGCTTGTTCAGATGCCTACTAAATCTTCTAAAGTAGTTTCAAGGCTCTTAACAGAAGTTAATTCACTTTCAGAGCTCAGGAGCAGTGTTTCCCAAGCCTTAGGACCAGGGGAAAAGTTCATGCCAACCATTAACGTGAGCAGCTCAAGCGCTTTGCCTACCATGTCCCTTTTGCACAGCCAAGAAAGTATCTCACCAAAAGTTGAAATCTGAGGAGGGAAACGACTTACTAGCATTTCCTCCAATAGGATACAAGCTTCAATTACATCACCGTTATTAAACAACCCACTGATCATAATCGTAAAAGTCCGCACGTTTTTTGCCAGACCCTTTAGTTGCATGTTACCTCGAAGCTTCCTTGCCTCATCAAGTTCACCGATTTTACACAAACATTCCAAGAGAATATTGTAAGTGATCACATCAGGTTTGCACCCCAATTCCTCCATAGGCAAAATCATTTGAATCCCTGCTTCCCAATTGCCTTGTTTGCATAATCCATGTATGTACACGTTGTATGTATAAATATCAGGAACTAAACCAAAGAGAAGCAATTCATCAAACAGTTCATCTGCCATCTTATAATCCCCATCCGCAATCACCCCATTCAAGACCATAGTATAACAAACAATGTCAGGCTTGAAACCATCGGCCTTCATTTTATTCAACAGATCAAGAGCGTCTGAACTCAGCCCTCTCCTAACCAAGAACTTAATTACATTAGAATAATCCACAACACCGGGACAGAATCCTTTTAGCCTCATTTGTTCCAGAAAGGTAAGAACCACATTACCAGTGGATTTCTTATGCTCACATAGCGATGCCAATATCAAAGAGGAGATTCCAGGGTTCAGACCATACCCTTCAGTTATCATATAATTGAAAAGCTCCATTGCATGCCCAACTTTATAAATTTTACATAACGCAGTAATTAGTATCCGAAAAGTGGACTCTTCAAGCCTAATACCCATAGTCTGGCTACTCAATATGATCTCAGGAACTATTCGAAGACCTTCGCCATTTCTACAGAGCAGGAAAAGTAGAGAGTTGAGTGAGAGCGCAGAAGGAACGCACCTAAACATGGGAATCCTACGGAACAGAGTGATGGCATCTTGAATTCGGTTGACTCGTCCGTAAACTTTGAGGAGGTCGACAAATATGTACTCTGGGGTTTCAAATTTCTCGACGCGTTCGAGACGATCGAGAACAGCGGCAATGTAGTGGAACTGTGAGCTTCGAACAAAGGTTTTGAGGACGAAGTGGTAGGCATTGGGGGTTGGATCGCAGCAATAGGCTCTGAAGGAGCTTATAAGAACCGAAAGAAGGTAGGGTTCGTCGGAATTGGGTTGTTTCGGCGAATTTGCAGCTTGTTTAATGGCCCGCAGAGCTTCATCCTGATTGAAGGTTTGATGCCATTTGGTTTTGAAGGGTGAAAATGGGCACTTCCTGTGTTTTCTGAGGAAGTGGTCGCTCCTCTTCACAACCCTGATGCTTTCCATTCTGGAACAAACAGGAAAGTGGACACAGCTCACAAAACATACAAATCTTAGTAACAACAAATTAAGATATAATTTCGTAAGAGGTATTGGTAATTGCTGCCATTTACCTCGATAATAAGTCTAACAGTGTTGGGTTGGGTTGTGTTAATGGGCTTACAAAGAACAACCCAACCCATTTAACTTTTTTCCTTTTTCTTTTTTTGGTGACCCGTAAAGAGGGAGAAGACAACGATGACTTTTATAATTAAAAGCTTTGTGCAGAAATATTAATCTACAAAATGAATAAACTATAAATAACTTAAAATGGAAAGAAAAAAAAGAAAAGATGTCCAATTTTGTAACCTTACATATTGAAAAGTCAACCCTTCACCAATCCCACGACCATGTAGTTGCTTCCCTTTCTCTCGGCTCCCACTGTCTGAACCCAATTTATAATACTAACAACAGGTCGGCATCCGCATTGACTTTGTGTTTTTTTTTTTAAATAAATAAATGACTCTCTCTACAGTATTGATCTTATTTCCTGATTTGTAATTTGTAAGGACTTACCTATAATTGGTTGACCTCATATTTTATTGCTTCTTTTCGTCCTCATATTTTTGATAATTTGTAATTATAAATTTAGATATTTTTAACAATTCATCACCTTGATTCAAAGTTGACGTGAACTCTAAAATTGGATTGAGGCATCATGAATCAATATTGAACAACTAATCAACCATATATGAAAACGTGTTTAAATACAAAAATGCAAAAATAATATTGATATTTTTTTGATATTCTACCTTACAATTATTAATTGATATTTGAATTATGAATGGTTGGAAAGGTATGGGGGACACTCCCCTAGCGAATATGTATTCGATGTGTGTTTTGTGGGTGACAAAATGATAATGCCAGGTCAGTTGTACGAATTTGACTTTTATTACACCAAGATAAAATAAATAAATAAATAAATAAATAAATAAATAAATAAATAATGGTGGGATACACGTATTATATATACATATTCCATATGGCACGGGAAGCCAACACGTCCCCGAAACAAGCGAAGGGAAAGGCGATAGATCCACACAGCTTAATCCTCCCCTTTCCTCCTCTCAAATCAAATTAAGCAATTAATGGCCAATCCGACGACGTCTCACTTGCCGGCACCGACGAATTACGCGCCGCTGGCGAAGCCGGTGGCCGTGGTAAGCCCCCAGTTCATGGCCCCCTATCCCGTGGATCTGAGAGTTACGAAGAAGGTGATGACCCTGGCGGAAGGTACTTTCACCGTTACGGACGTTAACGGCACCGTGATGTTCATGGTGAAAGGGTCCGTGTTCAGCCTTCACGACCGCCGTATTCTTCTTGACGCCGCGGGTAATCCCATCATCTCTTTCCAACAAAAGGTAAAGTTAAATGGGATATGTTGAATGAATAAATGGATTAGATGTGCGGTGTATGAATAATTGTTTTACCCACAGCTGTTTTCGGCGCATAGAAAATGGTACGCATTCAGAGGAGATAGCACCGATTCCAAAGATCTGTTGTTCACGGTGAAGAAATCGTCGATCTTACAACTGAGGACTCAGCTGGATGTGATATTGGCCTCGAACACCTCGGAGAGCAGCTGTGATTTTAAGATCAAAGGAAGCTGGCTGGAGAGATCCTGCACCATTTCCCTTGGCGACGGCTCCACCATCATCGCCCAGGTATCCCAACATATTTAATTCTTAATTAACCCCGCCATTCGCTTACTCTAGTTCATTCATTTTGCAGATGCACAGGCAGCACAATTTGCAGAGCGTGCTGTTCGATAAAGACACGTTCGGAGTGACGGTGTATCCCAACGTGGACTACGCGTTCATAGTTGCGCTGGTGGTGATTCTGTTCGAGATCAACGAGGACAGGAGCGGCAACGATTAGAGCCTCCTCCTCCTCCTCAAAAAAAAAAAAAAAAAAAAAAAAAAAAAAAAAAAAAAAAAAAAAAAAAAAAAA